GTGCAGAGTGCCGTTTTAGGACGAAGATGGCCCAGCTGCAGGCACCTGCAATTGGGAACGTCCCTGGCTTTGAACCCTCAGTGCGGCACTCGTAGAGTTTGGGATACTGGAGCCCCCATACTCCGGAAGGTGTTTTCGAAACCAGGACGACCGAAGTACTTGTCGAGTTGTTTGGACGTCGAAGCTTGTAGGCTTTCTGCTGCGAAAAACGGAAAATGACTACATCCATCACAGCAAACCTGGTCTACAGCATATTGAGACATGGCCATGGCGCAGGCGGACTACAAACTAAACTGCCTGGCCAGCAGCCTGCGCAGGAGGGGCCAGTGTAGGAGCAGCCGTCATCTCCTATGCAGCGATTGTAAGAGAAAGCTCGGCAAGGAGTTCTGGCCTGAAGGTCCTTTATCAGATCCAAAGAGTGTTATAACGCTTGGGCTTTGGTGGTAGATATCGATAACAAGGGTCCTGCCTTTGTTTCCGGTGTAAGGATCCGATTTTCTGGACACTCCCATATGGAACTGTGATGTATCTTCATATGGAACTGTGATGTATCTTCTGGCTGGTTCCATGATTCACTGCTCGTGGCCATGGGGCTACAGGACCTTCCAGGCTAGACAATGTCATGTTTCTAGTGAAGTGTATATGTGTATACATATATATATATATATACACACACATTAAGTATATGTATATAAATAGCATAAACACTGTATACACATCCTTCTTCTCTCATTCTTTCTTTCGCCAAGGCTGTGGCGGGGAGTTGCCTCCCCACCGCGCGCGAGTGCGCCCCCGCCTGTTGCGCGTGCCAGGAGTCTCTGCAGGCGTACTCTGAAGAGGCAGTATTCTCTCCTTCCTTCGCTCTCCCTCCCGCTGCTCCTTCCGCGCCAAGCAAGTGGGTTCTACAAACCACTTGCTGACAACTGGATTGCACTTACATCCTAATAATCATAGCTGTGTTTCACGAAGAAGTGGAGGATTTCATGCCAATGGACTGTGCCTTAATGTCATTTACCGGACACTCACCCTCGGACCTGTCCCTGCACGGCAAACATACTACTGATCTGTGAAGCAAGAGTCTGCTCCGGTGGCAGGGTGCCCCGCCATCGGCTGCCTTGCCAGGGACACTGATGCACCCTCAGTGGTTGAACTTGAGGCCAAAGCTAACAGTTCCTCTTGACTCCTACAAAGCTGCTGCCCTGGCTGCGCTTGAGCGGTGTCCATCGCCCCATAGCTTTGGTTGGGGTCGTAAGGCGCCTGCGAGAGATGTCGGCAAAAGGCCACAGAGTCGCGGTCTGGCGAGTACAAATGTCTGGCGCACCTGGCCATAGCTGGCATAGCCATCGTAGCCACCATAGCCGTAGCTTCCATAGCCTCCTTGTTGGCGGGCATGAAATGCTTTCAATCTTGAGCCTCAGCTCTGAAACCATCCACGACAAGCCCTCGCCCTCAAAAGAGCCTCAAAGCGAAGGAGAAGTCAAATCCGAGAGCTTACAGATGCTAGCAGAAACTCTTCCAAAAGTGGTGCCTAGAGCCCAGGGTCTGCATGGGTGTTGTTCTGTTCTTTGGGGCCCTTGTTCGCAGGAGCTTCAACAAAGTAATACGCTTCTTGTTCTCAGAAGCATAAACCCCAAACTCAAACTCTAAAAAAACCGTATGCCAGGCCCTCTGATGGCTTCTTTTTGGGCTTTGTGGAGTGTGCGTCCTCCTTGTCCGCCCGCGGCGATGCCAGCTTCAGACCTGGTTTTCCAGCACACGGTTCAGGGTTTAGGCCCTAAAGGGTTTTTTTCCCACCCGCTTCGCTGACTACAGTAGGTCGCACTGCAGGGAGACTGCGCTCCAAGACAAGTTGTATGCAAGTCCCAGGCCCAGCAACTTCCTCGTTAGACAGACTGCATAGGCTACAGGCCAGGAGGATGTCGGGTGCAAGACTCTCCAAGCACTGCAGTCCTGCGAAAATCCCACAGAAGCCCGAACAAGGTGCAGGAATGAATCGCAGTGCTGCTGCAGTAGACTATGTACAGGCTCCGAGAGCTGTACCCTCTCAAGCAAGTAAGCAAACCAAAGAAACCCTAGCCCCCAGGTACTATAGGGCCCTAGGGGCTCTAGTACCCTATATAGTAGGTACCTGGGGGGTTAGGGAAAGATATCAACAGGATAGCAAAATAGAAGCCGAAGATGGAGAAGCTGATGCAAGCTCAAACTGCCACAGTTCAATAAACCACCCCATCTGTTGGAGAGTCATCGACTCTTGGGGGTTTAGAGCCTAGGGTTCTTCCGTAAAGAAAACCTTGGTTTGATGTTTCGGGTTTAAGGTTGCGGTTTCAGGGCAGGGTTTTTTCATGGGAGACCGATAAGATTTTAAATTTCAATCCCGTTTAATATCATCGATGCAGCAGAATCCGAACAAATCAGAAGACAAGCAAAATAACTAAATATGAAACTTCGCATCCGAAAAACCTAGATTCGAAACTTTCCTTGTTCCCACCATGTTTCGTTGTGATATGTTGGTTGGTTTTGTTGTGCTGTTTGTTTTCTATCTGCAGGCCTGTGCAGGGGAGGGGGGTTGGCAGGCCAGGGCAGGGCAGGGCAGGGCA